GGCAGGAAGTACTCACCCACCTGAGAAACAGCACTTCCTTTAGAGACAAGTTGAAGATAGTGTCTCTGTAGCTCCACATAAGAATGTCTTGGTGCTTCTCACTCAAATTTCGGCATATCTGAAAAGTCTGAATGGGTGTCCTTCGGGGGAGCCTGGCTCAGGAAGGAGACTCGCACCACTGTCTGGTTCCCCACATTGGTTTCTCTGCCCAGGTTTCCCGAATTGCTTGTCTTCTGGTGAAATGTGGAGTGAGGGACTTAATTGCCAGCAATAAGAAGGGTTTCTTTGTACATTTATTTGGTGATCTATAATCAGTGAATAATTTCAACATCTCAAATATAGGAGAAAGTCTTAAATCTGTCTGGCAAATTGCTACAATCTGCTATAACTGACGTGACCCTCAGGTCAGGTTCACAGTAATTCAGACTGCTTCTATTTGAAGACCCATATTCACCCCTGCCTGGTTGGCCAGCATGCTCAAAATGGGATTGTACCACTTGTTCAGCTTTTCTTGTTCTTTGTTTCATTTTGTCTGGGGAGGACTAGATATCTTTTCTTTGGGTATTATTACTTCCCCTTTTCCATTTTTTTCTTGGCTTGTGGAGATTTCCATAATCAAATAAAGAAGTTTGCCATCATCAGGATACCCAACAACTTTATTCTTCGACGTCCAACACTCTTTTCTCATATCTTGTCCGGGAGCAGCTCCAGCTCTGCAGGGCGGGGACTGGACATCTCGGCTGCATCTATGCGCGGCTCAGCCCAGTGACCAGCGCCGCTCATGCAGGATGGCTGGGGGTGGTGGGTGGGGTGGCCGGCTAGGTGGCAGGGCCTTCCGCACTTGCCAACTGCGCCTCACTCCGTTTCTAACCTACTGAACTGAGAGATAATGTGTTGTCATAAGCTACTAAGTTGGTGGCAAATTTGTCACACAGCAATAAAATTAATACTCAAGTCAGTGACTAAAGGCTTAGAGGAAATGAAGTCATTGATAGGACATTATATAGAGCAACCATCTTCACAGTGTGGTTCCAAAGCCCCTGGCCAGCCCTTGAGGCATTTCTAGGAGCCTAGGAGGTCAAAAGTATTTTCAGAGAAATATGAACAATTTGCTCCTTCCCTGTTATCTCATAATTGCATAGTGGTTTTCCAGATGTGACACGATATATTCTCACTCTGCTAATGAAATATGTCCCTCTGTATTTTTAGGGTTTTAAAAAAATTATTTAATTTTAGTGTGGTACATACTGACAAATACAATCTACAAACAAAAACTGGTTGAGATTTTCAATAATTTCTAAATGTAACAAGGTCCTGATATAAAAAACTTTAGGAGCACTAGTCAAGATGAAATATAACCAAAGCAGGCCTGGACAAAATCTGAAGCTATAGGACTTATATAATTAATTAATGCTTATAGAGTATTTTGTCTTTAACTATGGTATAAGTATTGGCAAGTGTGGAACAAACTAGCTACCGTCTCTGCGATAAGACAACTACAAATAGCAAAATCATCTATCTCTTCCTTCCACAGCTGTTTTTAAGTACATGGCCCACAGTGTGAAGGTACACTCTGCGGTAAGCTGTGAAATGGGCAGAAATGTCACAGAAGAAGACTCTGTGGGGAAGTGAAATCTATGTTGAAGAGTTAAGTAGATGAAAAACAAATCTTTAAGCCATTATCCTTTAAGGTCTCAGCTAAAATATTCTCCTTTTAGGGGTCTTTTCTGATACCTTGCCCAGTGTAGCAGCATACCTTACAGTCTATCATAGTACCCTTGTAGGGTACCCTTGCTAGTACTTTTAAAAACAATATAGCTCTTAAGGTGAGTCTGGCTAGAACTAAATCCCAGTTTTGCTATTTTCTAATCTTTAATAAGTTACTCTCTCTATGCCTGAGTTCCTTATTTCTAATTAAACAAGGAACTTATGTTTAGCTAAGTTGTGACCATGGGACAGAAAAGGAAAGTGTGGTAGAAACTAGGTAAATGTCAGGGGCAGAATTAGCATGTGAGTTCAGACAAGAGAGAGGAAAAGTAAAGGTAATACTAAAGATAGAAGAGGAAGAAAAAGCAAAAGAAAGTTCTAGTGAGATATATACTTTTATATAAATATATATTCTTATATAATCAATCAATCAATCTATTGAGAGACTGCCAAAAATGTATACATACTTCTGCAGTCCACCCTACTAATAAATGTCTGGAAGCCAATGGCCACCATTTTGAGCATCTCTTGTAATTGCAGAGGCCAAAGGTAACTTGTTTAATCTTTTGATGTCTCAATAAAGAAGGAAAAAGAGAAAAAACAAAATGATTCAAAATTTGTTGCTTGAGGGATGGATGTGACAGGTTAGCAGGCTAGCAACAGTTAGTTATTTCAAAGGTGGCACTATGTCAAATTCATGTGAAAATGAGTTGGCAATGAGAATACGATTGTAGATAATTTATATTTAGAGTGCTAGAGTGATGGCCCTTAAACAGAAGTTCAGAGGAGATAAGATCTGGGTATATGCTCACTGTGTCAGAACTAAAACCATGGGGAGAAATCCCACATATTGGAACACTGAAGATAGTTTTTTAAACACTTGAAACAATGTTCTTATTAGTGACAAAAGATCTCAAAAACCTTTTAGGGAATAGGGCTTTTCAGAAAACTTAAAGCACTGATTTACCTAAGGAACTACAGGGTAAGGATACATGTTTCCCATACCATAAAACTTTGGAAGGTAAAATAACAATTGCTTTTATAAAGGTAAGCTTGGGCCCTCTCTCTCCTTTACAGCAAGAACCTCTTGCTGCTCACTTTAAAACTGTACAACGCTCCTCTTGCTGATGTGGTTTCACAGCACTCTCTCTCTGTTCCAGGCTAAGGCTTCCTGTCATGACTTCTGGGCATCCTATTTGAAACAGCAGGACCTTCTGACCTGGAAAGTTGCGGAGACCTTTTGGACAGCTGAACTGTAGATAAAAATCTTCCAGGGAAGTAGGTGTGGGCAGGATGTGTGTTTCCCTGCCTCTCATCTGAAGGCTGATTCAGTTAATATTTCATAAGTGATTTCTTACAGTAAAAGTTGCATTCCAGAGTGTTTTAAAAGAAATTCAAAAAGAAAAGCTAGCTACTGATTTGCAGTTCAAGTTGAGACTAGAGCACTCTCTTTATGAATGGCATAGACATGCATAGTAGGGAAACTTCCCTACTGTAATCTCAAACCAGCCCCTCGGCTGTAGGACCTTGAGGGCTCAAATTAGCCAATAACACACAGCAGAGAAGCACTTGTTTACTAAATAACCTAGAACTGAGCAGGAAGATGAGATAACATGTGTCTCATCCTGGCTCTGAATGTCTGTACAGCAGCCCAAACCTGGCAAAAATATTTTTAAACTTTTAGTGATATAATACACATAGATTCCTTCCCTGATATTCCAGGCTAGACTCTGTCTAAGATGAGGCTTTGCAAAATATCTGGGGCTTATGTTTCTGGAAAAAATTATGGCAACTTTTACATAACTCTCTCTGGTCTGAGCCCTGTACCCTGTGGCTTGACAGGAGCCTCTTCATCAGGCTTAGCTGTAGGGTGGGGAAGCTGCCCCACAGCACTGATCATATTAACTGAACCAAAACGTAGTTCACCTTCCCTCTCCAACCAACCACTCAGGGCCACTAAGGAACAACGCATAGGGCTGAGAAAAATTCACACGTGAATCACATGCTGCTGTTACTTAAAAAAAATCACTTTCCCTCTAAAAAAACAAATGTTTATTATGTCTCAGTCCCTCATTGATAACCTACTACCTGGTACTCCAGGTGTAGAGCTTAGAAAACACAAAAACAGTAACTGAGATTTGAGGATTTAAAAATCAAAGGACAGTGAACCACCACTTGGCTGTTCTGTGGCTACTGAGTCCAGAGAGCAAGTTGCCCTTACCATTCTTAGAAGTCTTCCCCACTTGGTTTTCTCCAGCCAAAAACCTAAGAAAATGTCCTGATGACAGATGTGCCTGCATCACTTGACTCAAATATGTTTTTCTCAAAGAACAAGAAAGCCTAGACCAATATCAGCATTTTAATTTTGTATCACCTTGGGTGGTTCCCTTTTAAATAATACTTCAATTTCACCATTTCTTTACTAGATTTGCACTTTTAACCACATTATTTAAGAGTAAAAACATATAGGTAAGGGCAGAGGGGACAACTCAGTGGAAAGGTGCTTGCCTAGGATGGATGGGGCTCTGATTTCAATCTCTAGCAGGGAGATATATAAATGTGAGATATATGTAGAATCTGAGGTATCTATCTATCTATCTATCTATATCTATCTATCTGAAGTGCAGTTTTCGTTTTTTACTTCTTTGTTAAAAGAGCAGACAAGGGAGGGGACAAGAATTTCTGGTTATTGAGGAGCTTCTGTTGTGACAGCCATAGCACCACAAGGTACATAAAGGCTCAAGTAGGATCAGCTACACACTCTGGCTCCTAAAGTGTGGGTCCTTTGTTTAAAAATTACAGAAAAGGCCGGGAATGTAGCTCAGTGATGGAGCACTTACTTAACATATGCAAGAATCAGGGTTCAATTCCCAGTACTGCAAAGCAACAATAACAAAGAAAACTAAAATAAATAAAAATTATTAAGAAATTCAAGAGAGTGAGAACAGAGCATTAATCCAGGAGGAGGGACCTCCTAACTGTGGAGCCCAGTAGATCACACAGGCCATGTCCTTGTGAAATTCACCCCACTCTCAAGCCCTGGCTTTACCACTTGTAAGACATGTGAACTTGGACAAGTCATCTGTACAGGATAATAATAATAATAGTAATAATAATCCCTACCTCATCAAGTTCTTATTAGGATTAAATAAGACAATATTTGAAAAAGAATACCTGGTATACAGCGTGCATAATATAAATGTTCAGTAAATGTATGTTGTAGCAGTTCTAAGTGTCTTAAAATGCCAGAGACAATCACAGGCAAGACATTGTGAATTTACTAAGATAAATTTTTAATGTTTTAAGAGTTTAGATTCCTGATAAGTTTTTCTCCATGACAGTGGTCACCTTTTATTTTAACAACATTGGATCGAAGCCAGCTACTCATAAAGCAAGACTGAAGAATGAAAAGATACTTGTTATGCTCAAGGTTCTGGAAGCAAGTACAGTGCAAACTGTCATGTAGCCAATTTAATATAACTGTTTCCTTTATGCTGAGATAATTCACTGGGGACATCACTGCTTCCATACAGGAAATAAAGCCTGTTGTATCTGAACAAAAACTAAGAAATACCTTTCTTTATTTTCATTTCTTTTTACAATGGAGAATATTGTTTTTTTTTAAAGCTGTAGAACAGGAAATGTTACTAATCACATAAACTCTATATTTAGGTTTAAAAAATACTACTGAAATAGTAAAAAAAAAAGCTTACAGATAGTGAAACATACTTTTATCTAGAAAAGAAATTTGGAGTATAAAGAAATAAACAGTTGATGAGTACTGTGTAGTAATGTTTATTTTATAAGAGAAGATTCAATTTCTTCACTGATTTATTTGCACATTTTTTTGTTTTACTTCTGACCATCAATAATTCTCAGGACTTTCACAAGCCTTTACAGTAAACATATCATAGTAAATATTGTTGACTGCCAAATTCTACACATGTAAATTTTCATTTGTCAAACAATTCGTCCAAGGTACACAGATTTGGGATACTTCTCTTTGAGAGTCGGCCACTGAACAATGAAGTAATCGGAGAGATGAATCAGAATCTTTCCAGAGAGGGATAAAGTTTCTACTCGGCAGATGCTTTCAACGTAGACAATGATCACTTTCTTTATTCCTAGTATTCCAAGGAGAAGGGCAGATACACAGATAGGAACACACGTTCCTGGTCCATTACACAACACCTTAAAAAAAAAGGTGAAGGTCAAATTAATACAAAACAATAATCTAAATGAGGCATTTTGTACTAGGAATAGTCTGATCATACAGGAGATTTCTGAGTCTAATCTGTCCTTGTCAAGAACCAGGATGTAAAAAACAGAGCATGTTTAAACCACTATACTTAGGAATCCTGTGAAGATGTGTTGTCATGGCTCTCCTGCTCACTAGGTCTGACTTGGGTCAAATCACATGATGTCTAACTTCTAGCACAGTGAGTGCCTGGTGCTCATTCAGCACTCATTGGCTGGACAAGTGTTGCTCTTTTCTGACTGCTCAGTAGATCTTGAATGTCACACAGATATATAGAAAATACATGATCAACTAAGGTTCATTTAGTTTTCTTTCCTGTACCAGCTCGTTCTTGATGTAGGAGATGTTTCTAAATGACTATCATGTAGGCTATTTTTGTGGAAAGTAAAATCATTTGGGGGGGGTTCAGTACAACAAATGGGATATTCAAGAGAAGGTTAACATAGAAATGAGATTTCCCTCAAGAGGGCTTAATCTATGCTTGTGATACAAAAGAGTTTTCATTCTGCTAATTTTTATAGAAAGCCACTAGTTAAAACAATTTAATTGGGCTGGGGATTTAGCTCAGTGGTTCTGCCACTTGCCTTGTAAGTGCATGGTCCTGAGTTCGATCCCTGGAACCAAAAAAAAAAAATTTTTTTTTTTTTTTTTTTTAGTTGACTAACCTTACAAGAGAAATAAAACTTAGAGAGCAACTGCAAAGAATTTTTATAAATCTTTGAAGAAAATGAGAGGAAGCATATTTCATAGGATTGTTGATAATGTATTACTATTTTCAGAGGAAAAAGCATTTTATATAGTATCTTATTCATAAGCTCATGTTGGCTGAATTAGTAAAAACTAACAAAGCATTTTATTCCACAAAACACAAACGGGAGGTATGAAGTTGTCTACGTATGCCTATCAGGTATGATTTACAATGTCACATGGCCTTTCTAGCTAATACCCCATACAAGTTAGCTGACATCACAGAATCTTAGAGTGGGAAAGGGCTCTGCCTGACAGCCATCCCGCCTCCATTTGAACACAGTCAAGGGTACAAAGGTTTGCTAAGTCATCTGTTCTAGGCTCCCCTTTCTGGAGGCATGACCACGAGTATCATCATTCACAGAGCTTTGGGAAGAAAGACTAGTCTCTTTTAAGTAGGTTCTACCTTTTGTCTTTCTGAAGCTCTCTACCTACAATTTAAACCTATTTTCTGTCTTTCATGGAGAACTTTGGTTCAGCCATTCTCTTGAATTACCAGCCGCTGAGCTGTTCTCCAGACTGGCCTCTTTAAATCTCCATTAAATTGTCCCTATAACTCTTCTTAGTAGACAACCAAGGCAGTGTAAAAGAAACAACATGGAACCGAGAGTCAGGAGAGCAGAATTAAATAGGCTGCAAACTAGCTCTGTGACTTTGGGCATCAGCAGTAATAACAATCACCACCTGCGTTTCCCATTACTAGTTATTTACAACTCACTATGGCCAGGTACTATACTAATATTTTACATGCATTATATTTTAATTAATCTTCACATCCATCATGAGGCAACTTTCATTATCTCATCTCTCAGATAAGAAAACTGAGGCAGAGACATTGAGCAAGTTGTTTGACCACATGTTTAGGAGGTAAAGAAGTTATATTGCTCAAGGTTGCTTTCTTTCCTAAGTGACTTAGTTATCCTAGCTAAAGTATGGGGCCAGCTGGGGATTTAGGTCAGTAGTGGTGCTGCCTGTCTTGCAAGTGCAAGGTCCTGAATTTGATCCCCAGTGCCAAAAATAAATAAATAAATTAATTAATTAAAAAATACAGAGAGACTGGATTAATTGACTTCTGTCCACTTCACAAGTCTATGTTTCATGATTCTGATTTGCCTCTAGCTTTATCTTATGCCTAGATTGTAAACTTACTCTGAATCCTTCCAGGGCTTATAATTCTAAAAATCCTTTTAATGCAAGGCATTACTGAAATTTTGGATTGGATAATGTTTTTTGGTGTTGTTGTGGTAGCTGTCTTATGAATCATATGATGTTTAGTATCCTTGGCCTCTGTCCACAAAATTCTAGTAGTTAAAATAATCAAGAATGACTCTAAGCATTGCCAGACTTCACAACTGTGATATTAATGTACTTTCTAATCCTTGGATTATTTGTTCTCAAATGCCCCACCCCCCCGTCAGTGCCGGCGAATGAACCCAAGGCCCTCTGCATGCTAGGCAAGTGCTCTACCACTCAGCAACATCACCAGCCCTTAATCTTCTTTTCAGGGGTACAGAACAAAAACTGCAGCAAAAAAGAATGTAAGGTCTATTGTCAGATCTTGAATGTCAAGCTATTCTCACATTTCCAAAAAAATGTACATTTCCATATGCATTCATTTTGATGTCTGGCTGACACTTTAGATGCAAATTATGTATATATTGATAGAGATATCTGTATATCATTGGGTAATGGCGAGAGATTAATTAACAACTGACCACTGATAAGAAGACAAGATTATTCAGGCAAAAATAGAAATTAGAAGTATTTTGTTTATTATCTCCATATTTTGAGATATCTTATTACAAAAGTCCCAGGTACAATAAAATCATATATCAAGAACTGGAGTGGCTGCGGTGGCACACACCTGTAGTCCTGGCACTCAGGAGGATGAGGCACGAGGATACTATAAGTTCAATGATAGCCTGGGCTACACAGTGAGTTCAAGACCAGCCTGAACTACATAGGGAGATCTTGTTCCTCCTCCACCAAAAAAAAAAAAAAAAAATTAGAAAAAAGGGTGGGAAGTGTAGCTCAGGGACAGATCTTCAACAATGCCAAAAAATTTTTTTTAAAAAAACAAAAGAAAAGCCAACTAATCTCACGGAAAATAACATTTAATTAAGCGCAGGTTTTAACTTTGAATTGCAATAGCCTAGACAATTATTTGTAAAAATGTGGATTACAGAGTTTTCATTATTTGAAGAAGCATACCAGAGAGACTATTCCAAACATTTAATAACAATGAATCACTGAAACAGCCTGGGTAAGGTCATGTTAAACAATATGGAGCTTTTTTTTTAGTTTTATAAAAAACACAGACATATTCTTCATATTTCCACTTCTGAAACTACAAATTCTCAATGAGAATGCAGGACTATCTCCCTGGCCATCCTCTGCCTCAATACTCTGTAAGCTCCTTTTGGTGAGATCCATTTCTAGGACTATCTATACTCTGCACCTGGAATAAAGTAGAAGAACAGAAGGACAGAAAGTAAGGAGCAAGTGAGCGAGAGAAGCGTGAATCCTTGACAGACTTGGCCATTGTACTCTACCATCTACACTCCTCACAGACACTCACATGGCTGGGTGCCATACAGCTGTAATTACAGCTGCTTCTTTGACCTCCTTTTAGCCACTTCACATCTGTTCACCTTTTTCTCAAGGGAAGCACTATATTCCTTGTGCTCAATTTAAGTGTTTGATGAGAGCTGACTCCACGTCTGCTTTTAGGAGAGGACATATGACTCCAGCCTGACCAATCACAGCATCAAATTTCTCTGGGGAGTCACTCACTCAGGGAAGAGCATATAACCCAGTCAGAAACCACAGGACTTTGTGGAACATTTGTTGGGGCTGCTGAGAGAGCAGTGACTTTTCTACTGCTCTCTAGAACGCAGGAGGATGTGGACCTGGCATAGTTAACATCTCATTTAATTGCAGCTTCTTTTTAACCATTTCACATCTGTTCATCTTTTTCTTGGAGAACCACTTGCTAGACAGCTAGAGAATGAAGCTATCAAAAAGTACAGCAGAGCTGAGAGACAAAGACAGGCCAAATCTTGAAGGCAGCATTTAGGATCCATGAATCCAGCTATGCCTGAAGGAAACCAGATCTCTCGCTAGACTTGCCAGGTATGTGATGGAATACATTCCATTTTTGCTTAAGCCAGTTTGAACCAGGAGTTTTGTCCTTGGGAATAAAAAGCATACTAAGTGATACAGTCTTTTATTGTGTTTAACTCTCTGACTGGTCTTTGATTATCTACAGCACCAACCAGTGTGTTTTCAATATGTTCCTGCTAGATGAATCTTCCAATCAATAGATAAACTTCTCTAAGAGCAGGAAGTTCAAGAGACATACTAAAGATAATGTGAATTACAGATCTAAAAAATGAAAAAGGTCAGGGCTATATAAATTCAGGAGGGCAGATGAGTTAGATCAAGAATCAAGAACAGTTATACTAGGATTGTTGTTCTGTAGATTTGGGTTACAACAGGTCAATTCCTATGGCTGAAGCATAATATCTGCATATATAAAAAGACATATTTAATTTGAATAGTCTGAATTCAACTTCTAACCCAGTAGGAATTGCGCACACAGAGTTTGGGCATGATACTTGGTGTTTTGGGTTGTTTGTTGGTCACAGGTTATGTAGTTGAGGGTGCCCCAAGGGTGCTCATGAAGGTGAGACTGAAGGCATGGAGAATCCAGTGAGGCTTCAATATTAGGAGACTGGACAGAGAAGCAGAGCCCAACTCTGTGGCACTGGCCTGAAAACCAGATATCTTACAGCTCCTAGCTGGGGGATTTAGAGGCCAGGAAGAGTTATGACCTATGAGAGAGAGCTTCAAGGAAGGTTTTATTGATATTCTAGAGCCACAAAGAAGCCAGAGAACTAAAGCTCATGCTTAAAACTGAGCTGGCATAGGCAGGTAGCCCATATGGAGGTCACAGGTCCTGTTAAATCCAATTCTTCAGTTTATAGGTTATTGATACTCTCACATGGAAAGGTAAATGGTGGAGATGAGGAATTGTGTAAATATGGCGTGGAGGAATACTCAGGAGTATAGATGAAGAAAAGCTTGGTTGTAGTGTTTAACAGGAAGCAAGGTGAGGTAAAATATTTAAAGAATGGTTTGAGAAATAAGAGGAAAACCACAAAGTCACTTGCCTGTCCTCAAAAGT